GGTGTGTGTGTGTGTGTGTGTTCCGGGCGATCTCCCAGGGCCGGCAGGGGTGTGTGTGTGTGTGTGTGTGTGTGTGTTCCGGCATCTCCCAGGGCCGGCCGGGATGTGCGTGTCTGTTTCTTGGGGCTGGCCGGGGCTGGTCAAGGCCTGATTTGGTGCCCGGAGATATGAACGTGGTGTTGGGGGGGATGAGGGCGGGGGTGGTTGGGGAGAGGGGTGCAGGGCTGGGGGGGGCTGTTGGATTGGGGGCTCAGGGGTGCAGCATGTCCATCCCCACCCCCAAGATGTACCGCTCGCCTGCAATGCAAACCTCAGACATGTTCCAGACCCATCCCTGTCTCGTCTCCCCCCACCACCGCCCCATAAATCTCCCCTGACGCGGATGGGGGAGGGGAGATGGTTGTGGCAAGCGCAGACCCCGGCTCGTAAAGATTAATTATGATCCACGGGGCTTTTAGCACATTAATTGCTTGATGCACAGTGACACGCGGCTGGCTGAGCCGACGGGGTGGGGTGGGGTGGAAGCTGGGATCCAGGACTCCTGGGTTCTCCCCCCAGCTCTGGGAGGGGAGTGGGGTCTGGTGAGTTAGAGCAGGGGGGCTGGGAGCCAAGACTCCTGGGTTCTCCCCCCAGCTCTGGGAGGGGAGTGGGGCTGGTGGTTAGAGCTGGGGAGGGCTGGGAGCCAGGACTCCTGGGTTCTCCCCCCAGCTCTGGGAGGGGAGTGGGGTCTAGTGGGTTAGAGTGGCGAGGGGCTGTTTACACCAGAACCGGGCAGGCCCACACCTGGGTTCACACACCAGGGGCTGGCAAACCAGCAGGATTTCAAGCGCCCCAGGGCCTCGCCCCCCTTCCCCCCCCCCCAGCTTCTGGGGCTGGGCCCAGCGTCTCCGGGCTGATACGGCAGGACAGCGCCCTCTGCTGGGCACAAAGCTGTTCGGCTTAGAGCTCGCAGCAGCCCCCAGCCCCATGTCTATAGAAGAAACACTTGTATGCCCCCAGAGCTGGGAGAGAACCCAGGAGTCCTGGTATGGAGATGGAGGGAGAAGGCGGCAATTTATTTTTCCTTGGAGGGGACAGGTTAAAATGCCACCTGGAAAGGTGGTGGCGGTTGGTGTTTGTGGCCCGTGGAGGAGGTGGGTAACTCGTTCACTGAGGGCTAGGGCTTGGCAGGGTCCCATGTGGGTCAGGGCACATCTGTGGCCCTTAAGGGAATGGGAAGTGGTAAACAAGAGCCCACCAATGTGTGTGTGTGTGTGTGAGAGTGAGTGAGAGAGAGAGAGAGACCGCATACTCCAGCACTCGTCTGTGGCCACCTCGGGCAGGATCTGATTATACGGGAACCACTCGCCCAGCTCTGGAACTCGGCCCCTCTGGGGTGGGGCAGGGGCTGGTTATACAGTGACCCCTTGCCCAGCGCTGACACACACACATTATG